ATGACCTTTTCCCATTGATCAGAGTTTACAAAGATGGCCGAATCGAGAGGTTGATGGGCGAAGGCGTTGTCCCAGCTGAATTGGATCCTGAAACCGGAGTCCAAATCAAAGATGTCCAAATTGATCCAAAAATTAACCTATCAGCAAGACTTTACCTGCCCAAAAATCTCGACCCGGTTCAAAAAATTCCCCTTTTCGTCTACTTTCATGGCGGCGGCTTTGTGATTGAATCTGCTTCTTCACCTTCATACCACAAGCATCTTAATTTGGTAGCAACTAAAGCCAATGTTATAATCGTTTCTGTTAACTACAGGTTAGCTCCTGAATACCCATTACCCATAGCTTATGAAGATTCCTGGGTAGCTCTCAAATGGGTCGCTTCACATACTAAAGGTGAAGGTCATGAGCCATGGCTAAAAGACCACGCTGATTTTAATCACGTTTATTTTGGTGGAGATAGCGCTGGAGCTAATATTGCTCATAATATAGCAATTCGGGTCGGGTTGGAAAAGTTGGATGGCGTCAAACTTGATGGGATTTTTTTAGCCTGTCCGTATTTCTGGGGGATTGATTTAATTGACGGCGAGGCTGAAAACTTGGATTGCAAAAATTACATTGAGAAGCTCTGGGCTTTTGCGCATCCAAATAGCTCCGGATTAGATGACCCGTTGATGAACCCGGAAAAGGATCCGAAATTGTCTAGCTTAGGGTGTGATAAAGTACTTGTTTATGTTGCTGGAAAAGATCCGTTGAAATACAGGGGATTGTACTATAAGGAGTTACTAGAGAAGAGTGGGTGGCAAGGGACAGTAGAGGTTGTGGAGATTAAGGATGAAGAACATGTGTTTCATTTGTTTGCTCCTACGAGTGAAAATGCTATGGTCGTGCTGAAAAAGTTGGTCTCTTTCCTTAATCAGTCCAAGGCCTAATGCCTCAAGACGATGCTTTTTTCATTTTTAGTTGTTGCTCATGTCTACTGGGAAATATTTATGTTTTCACACTTTTCACCTGTTAAATTCAATTTGAGCTAATTGCTTCTCTTTTACTTTCCTTGTCTGTTTAATCTTGCTGAAGTTGATTTTAATCACTTTCATTTTTGTCAATTAAATCTTAATCGTCGTGATTAATGAGAGCCAAAATTGTATGGGGTCGAATTTGACCAACCACGTTCTTCATGCCAGCACGACCGACCGAGTGTGCGTAAGTCCGGCTAGAAGGGCAACCTATGAGCAACAAGAGGGACGACTTCACGATCACGTCGGCCACTCCATAACATGTACTCTATTTTCTGCCTTTTAATATTCGAGCAAGGATCCTCTATTATATAAAGAGGATCCAAGCCTTGTAAAAGGGGAGGATTTTGGGACTACTGGAAATACAATCTCTCTCTTTTCTCTCTCTAACATTATCTCTTTCTCATCTTTGAGAGTTTATCATTTTCTCTCATTAACCTTGTTTACACTAGTGTCATCTGATTCTATATTCAAGATCATCCTAGGGTTTATTATCTTCAACTACAATTCACCCCTTCATCTATATTGATTGATTTGCTTAGAAAGTATTAACTTACTTTTGGGTCAAACAATTTGGCGCCGTCTGTGGGGATTTCGGTAGTCGAAATCATAGTTCACATCTAGGATATCATAAACAACCATTGCTGTTCTTCAGATCTCATAGAAACTAACGAATGGCAGACAAAGAGTCAAGGTTGAAGATGATAGCAGACGTCTCAACCAACCTCATAGGCCCACTCAACGAAGCCGGTAGAGAAAATACCGCGAATATAACACCAAGTAACATACCGGAGGGGGAGATCTCACCCCCCTCACTCGAAGATCTAACGATTTTGCATGAAAGAGGGACTTCTACATCTGCAGCAAAGGAAACACCCCCAGTAGTCAAAAAGCTACTAGAGGAATGGTTGACGAACACTCTAAGTAGCATGCTCGAGAAACCACCTCAGGGAAATGTCAAAGATCCATCGATGGCAGAAATCGCCGCCACCATCGGAGAGCCCAGCGTCGCACGAACAGGTAATGCCCACACTGATTCCGATACAAGCAACGATGCACTCACAGCCATCCATAAGAAAATGGAGGAGATGGAGAACGAGAACAAAGCACTTTGTGATCAAATGAAGGAGCACCAGGAGAGGGTAGACAAGATACCTGGCGCCCCTAAGCTACTGCCGAAACGCGATATAGGAAGATTCGTCGAGCAACCATATAATGAGGAAGCTACTCCTCACCCAATCCCTAAAACCTTCAAGATGCCACCATACTTGAAAATATACGACGGGACCACGGATCCAGAAGATCACCTGATTCATTACGTGACTGCCGTAAAAGCAATGACCTATCGAAAGAACAGGTGCCATCTGTGTTGCTGAAAAAGTTTGGGGAGACTTTGACGGGAGGAGCACTCACATGGTACTCTCAGTTACCGGCCAGATCGATATCGACGTTCGGAGAGATGGCGGACAAGTTTGCCACCACCCACGCAGGAGCAAAGAAAGCCGAAGCTAGGGTCAACGATATCTTCGCCATCAGGCAAACAACGGGCGAAGGACTTAGGGACTTCCTGGCGCGATTCAACAGGGTAAGAATGGGAACTTATCAGAAGGAATGGCGGTGGCAGCTTTCCAAAACGGGCTGAACAGAGACGGATCCAAAGCAACCAAAAAGCTGCTCAATCGGCTCATGAAGTATCCCCCCACCACGTGGGAAGAGATTCACAATGCCTATTGCGCCGAAGTCAGAGCGGATGAAGACGACCTTAACGGCCCAACCCAACGACTAACGTCCGTACAATCAAAAGTAAGGAGGGACCGACGCAACGACGGGCGACGGGAACCACTCCCACGCTTCAACAGAGAAAGGCACCAGCCCTACGTCAGAACTCCTAACCCGCCTCCTCCAAGAGATCCAGATGCCATGCAGCAACATGCTGCCCCCGCTTCGAAATGAAAGAGGTATGCCCCCATTATTATCCACTCATAACTTTTGTGTCTCCCCTTCAGAAATAGTGTACGTACTGGAAAAGCTGGGCACGAAGGTGCAGTGGCCACAAAAAATGAAATCAGACCCTAGTGCAAGAAGGTTGAACGTCCTATGCGAATTCCACCAGGAAAGAGGACACAAAACCGAAGATTGCATAGGTCTACGGCAGGAGGTGGTCAGAATGCTGAACCAGGGATACCTGAAGGAGCTACTCAGTGACAAAGGACGGACTAATTTCGCCAGAGGACGCGACCAATCCCAAGGACCACCAAAACCACCTTCTCCAGCGCGCACCATACAGATGATCGTCGGCGGCGGCGACGACTCGGCAATCAACCATGTAAAGTTCACCACCACACACAAGTTGAAACGCACGATCGCTCACGAACGGTATGATGACTTCGAAGATGGTATCACCTTCGATAAGTCCGATGCCGACGGTTTGTCTTTCCCTCATTATGATGCTCTAGTTATAACTTTACGCATTGCTGATACCGATGTGAAAAGAATCATGGTAGACGACGGAAGTGCGCGTGTATTATCCACCCAAGAGTCCTCATGCAAATGAGGCTCGAAGATAAGATAATACCGCGTTGCATAACACTAACGAGTTTTAACAATGCAGTAGAGCGAACCTCCGGAGAGATATCACTGCCAGTCCTGGCGGGGGGAGTCACGCTGGAAACCACGTTCCACATCATGAACCAGGAAACGGCCTACAACGTCATCATGGGAAGACCATGGATACACGCCATGCGGGCCATCCCCTCGAGCCTCTATCAAGTAATCAAATTTCCCACCCTATGGGGAATATTCAGCATTCGAGGTGAGCCACGTACCTCCCAGGAATGTTACCGAATTGCCCAAGAATGCACACATACCAAATAGCTGAAGGGAGCAAGCGCGGAAGCATAGCAATTAGCCATGTCGGGAACCAAAATCAACCTGACGACAGAGGTTATTAGGGACCCAGATGTCGTAAAAGCCTGCAAGGCGACAGTCGAGAACCTCGATCCTGTCCAACTGGACGGTACCGACAGTTCAAAGAAAGCCTACATCGGACACAACCTCTCCGACCCAGGTAAGTACCACAAATTCTTAACTAACCATGCAGATTTATTTGCCTTCTCTCATTCAGATATGCCGGGGATCCCGAAAGACATCACCACTCACAAGCTGAACGTCGACCCACTTTATCCGCCCGTAAGGCAGGTAAGAAGGAAATTCAACGCCGCAATCAACGATGCGGTCAGTGAAGAGGTAGATAAACTACTAGCCAACGGTTCCATTAGGGAATCAAAGTACCCCCAATGGGTCGCCAATGTGGTCATGGTTAAAAAGAAAAATGGGAAATGGAGAATGTGCGTATACTTCACCGACCTAAACAAGGCATTCCCAAAAGACTCCTTCCCGTTGCCCCATATCGACCAGCTGATCGATGCAACAGCGGGGCACGAGCTGCTAAGTTTCTTGGATGCCTACTTTGGCTATAACCAAATCTTAATGACCGAAGAAGACCAAGAAAAGACAACTTTTATCACCCATCAAGGGACGTACTGCTACAAGGTGATGCCCTTCGGACTGAAAAACACGGGTGCAACGTACCAAAGGTTGGTCACCAAGATGTTCAAGGAACAACTCGGTAAGACAATGGAGGTCTATATCGACGACATGCTAGTGAAGTCGGTTAAGAAGGAACCATATCGACCATTTAAAGCAGGCCTTCGAGATACTGAGGCAGTATGGGATGAAGTTGAACCCAGAAAAATGCGCCTTCGGCGTAGCCTCGGGGAAATTTCTAGGCTTTCTAATATCGCAACGACGCATCAAAGTCAACCCAGACCAGATTAAGGCTATAGACACAATACCCGAGGTTCTGCACAACAAGAAACAGGTGTAGAAACTAACGGGGCGAATAGCCGCCTTATCGAGGTTTATCTCGCGATCCTCGGACAGATGCCATAAATTCTTCAGTGTGCTTAAGAAAGATCATGGACTACAATGGAACGAAGAATGCATCGAGGCACTGAAGAAATTGAAAGCATATCTATCTTCGCCACCACTGCTCGTCAAAGCAGACCCCGGCGAGTGCCTACTTGTGTATCTGGCGGTATCCGAAGTCGCTGTCAGCTCCGTCTTGGTCCGCGAAAACAAAGGTACGCAATCCCCTATTTATTATATCAGCAAAACATTAGTAGATGCCGAAACGAGGTACCCCCACCTCGAAAAACTGGCTCTGGCACTGGTCGTGGCTTCGCGAAAGCTCAGACCTTATTTTCAATGCCATCCCATAAAGGTAATATCAACCTTCCCCCTAAGAGGCATGCTACACAAACCTGAGCTCTCAGGTAGGCTCACCAAATGGGCCATAGAGCTCAGCGAGCATGACATAACCTACCACCCAAGAACCGCCATCAAGTCACAGGTACTTGCCGACTTTGTCGCCGATTTCAGTGCAGGGATACTGCTAGAGGTGGAACAAGAGGCCCTCCGCGCCTCTGCTCGTACTGACCTTTGGACCCTCTACACTGACGGCGCTGCAAATGCCTCGGGATCGGGATCGGGACTGGGACTCGTCCTCGAGGTCCCCACGGGCGAAGTAATTCGCCAGTCCATACGATGCCCCGAGATGACTAAAAACGAGGTCGAATATGAGGTTGTGATTGCAGGCATGAAATTAGCCATCAAATACGGGGCCCGTCGACTCATCCTCCACTGCGACTCTCAACTTGTCGTAAATCAAGTCACCGGGACTTACCAAATCAAAGAACAACGGCTACAAAAATATCAGTCAGAGATCCGCAAGCTGATGCATGAGTTCGACGAATGTCGCTTCGAACAAATCCCCAGGGCACAAAACGTTGAGGCAGATAGCCTAGCTAAACTAGCCGCAGCCACCAAGAATATCAACAAAGAAAATGTGGTGACTCTCCTCCATTCGGCCGTCGACCATGTCGAGGTATTCTCTTTAAACTTGACTTGGGACTGGCGCAACCAGTTTGTATCCTACCTGCAGGACGGAACGCTCCCACGCGACAAAAAAGAAGGCAAGAAACTCCGGGTACAGGCTGCCCGATACAGCCTGATCAATCACGATCTCTACAAAAGAACATTCGGAGGTCCCCTTGCCAAGTGCCTCGGGCCGCATCAAACGAGGCAAGTATTAGAGGAAGTGCACGAAGGCCATTGTGGCGCCCACACAGGGAACCGCGCCCTTGTTCGATGCCTCATCCGCGCCGGCTATTACTGGCCTACCATGAAGAAAGAGGCAGCAGATTATGTTCGAAGATGCGAGCAGTGCCAAAAGTACGCCCCCATGATACACCAGGCAGGGGAACTCCTCCATTCAGTCACCTCGCCATGGCCCTTCATAAAGTGGGGAATGGACATAATCGGCCCTCTACCGACAGGACGAGGAAAGGTACGCTTTCTTCTAGTTTTGACTGACTATTTTTCTAAATGGGTGGAAGCAGGTGCGTACGCACAAATACGCGAGCAAGAGGTCATCGCCTTTATATGGAAAAATATCATATGCCGCTTCGGCATCCCTAAAGAAATCAGCTGTGACAATGGACCCCAGTTCATCGGTAGAAAAACAACAGAATTCTTCGGGAAATGGCACATCAAACGGATACTCTCCACCCCGTATCATCCCGCCGCCAACGACCAAGCCGAGTCTTCCAACAAAACAATATTGAACATATTGAAAAAGAAGCTCGAAGACGCTAAAGGGTCATGGCCCGAATTATTACCTGAAGTATTATGGGCCTACCGGACTACGCCCAAATCCAGCACGGGAGAAACACCATATTCACTGGTCTATGGGACCGATGCAGTCACACCCATCGAGATCGGAGAGCCAAGCCTGAGATATTCCCATACCAGTGGAGCGGATAACGATGAAAGCAGGTTACAAGATCTAGACGAATTCGAAAAACGAAGAGACATGGCTCATATAAGGATGACAGCTCAGAAACAGCAAGCGGAAAGATATTACAACATGAAAGCCAAAGTAAGATCACTCAAAGTTGGCGACTATGTCCTCAAAGCCAAAACACTAGCATCAAGAGATCCGAACGAAGGGAAATTGGGAACCAATTGGGACGGACCATACAAAATCATTGCAGCGACGAACAAAGGGGCATTCCAACTAGAAACGATGGAAGGAAAACCGCTCCAAAACAATTGGAACGTCGCCCACCTCAAATACTTCCACTTCTGAAAGGCATCTCCTGAGTCGTACTGTTTTTCCCTGACCCGAGTTTTGTCCCAATTGGGTTTTCTCGGGGAGGTTTTTAACGAGGCGGCAAAGGGGATACCCGGTGGAACAGGAGCGCAGATTCACCATATCGGCCAATCGACACGAGCCATGGGCCAATATAGTGAAGGGACTACACTAGTTACTCTCCATTATAGGCACGTTACTCTCCAATATAGGCACAGTATTCTCCATTGTATGCACAAAAATCTCCACTATATGTACAAAAATCTCCATTGAATGAACAAAAATCTCCATTGAATGAACAGAAGTCTCCAATGAATGAACGAGAATCTCCATCTTACGACGGATACTGCTTCGACGACAGTCGAAGCAACATCTTAATGGCCAAGGCCATCGACATCGGTTCGACCTCGTTCGAACTTCGACGGATACTGCTTCGACGACAGTCACGGCACGACCCTTTGACGAACGATAAGAACAATCTCTACGGAGGTTAAACATTACAAAAGAAAAATAAAGGGGAAAACACCAAATGGACGAGGCAATAAAAAGAAAATCTATATTGCAACAAAAATATATTTACATCCGCCCCCATGGACAAACTCCAACACGCTATAGAATCGAAAAAATATACACTATGCAAGTTCACGACTGCCCGTCACCCCCGGGAAAGTAAACGTCATTGTACCAGGAGCTGGAGTCGAGCCGGTTGACGTCTTCAGAAGCAGGCCCCTCCCCATCAGGAGAGTCGGGGTAATAACCGCAAACCTCACGAGCAGTACGAGCCTCGTCGTGCCCGAACCTCCTCCTCCGTCGCCCGGCCCGCGGCATGAAGCTCCCTAAATACATCGAGCCTGGCCTCCGCAAAAACCCACATCTCATGCGAGTTACGACGCATACCCCGACCAGGCGAAGGACGAGATGAGGAAGGTTGGGAAAGTCCATTATTCTCTGCCATCCTAGCATCAAGCTCGACGGTTAAGTCCGCCACCCTCCGCTGCAGGTCGACGTTCTCCGCTGCCACCCCACGATTCAGCTCAAGCTCATCATCTTTCGTTCTAAAAAGCTCCTCCAACTCGCTGTTGCGGGCTACGACCTTCATCAACTCGCTATCCGCCTCCTCTAGCTCGGCCCCCCTACGTTCCAACTGGGACTGCCCCCGTTCAACCACCGCTCTGTGCTTAGAGCGATACCTTCGATACTTTTTCAGCTTCTTCTTGTAAAGGGCCGTCCTTTTCTGCTCACGGCGCCCCCTCTCCACCTCCAAAACAAGGGTCTAAAAAGAAAAACAGAAGTGAGCACGCCTCGAATCAGTCTTACAACACGCGGAAGGACAAAAGGGAATAAGGAATTACCTACAAAGCCATGCCAGAAATCTTCCGTGACAGCTCTGCATCCTCCACGGTACTGAGCGTCTCGCTCTCGGAGGCGGCACACAGCAAGGTAAGGGCCGCAGCAGCCTGTACGCTGTTTAACAACAAGTTATAAGCCGCCGGAATCGTAATACGGCGGTCAGACCCATCCGACGTCATCTCCACGTGGGTGAGGCCGCCCACAAACTCGTCGACATCCTCCTGAGCGATGTCGGAGTCCGATCTCTCCGTTTCCTCGCCTGGTCCATCGACATTGGTTGACGATCCCCCCTCAATGGCAGGTGCGAAACTAGCACCGGGAGTAGCACCCCTCTGACGAGCCGACCTCCCAGACCGAATAGCGTCGGCCATGAATGGTCTGCGCGTCGGCTGGGGCACATCACTTCCCTCGGCCTCGGTGGCCACCCCCTTACCCTTCTCAAGCCTTCTCCGTTTTCTGTCTGACGATTCCCCGCCATCAGAGGGTCCGTCCACAGGTTGCAAAGTCGGCACCAGCGATGCCGACTCCCACATAACCATGGTCGTAGACGTGGCCCCCTGTAAAGGAGCTGGAGAAGGATCCTCTCGGACAGACTCAACCAGTATATCGTGAGCGGCCGAGGCAACGTCAAATCGATGTAGAGCGGGAATCGGCGCCCTCTTCCTAGAAGCGCCTCGACCTGTCGCCATAAAAATAAGTAAGCAAAGTTGCAGAATTTACAAAGCAAAAATCGAAAATCTACCTGAAGAGACTTTGGGGCCGTAACGCTGCAGGAAGGCAGGCCAAGTGCGGGTCTCTTCCGCGTAAGGAAGCAAGCCCTTAACCCATCCCCTAAGGTTGGCAACGAGCCGGGGCGGGTGAGCCATAGCTGCAATATAAAGGTCAGAATGGCAACAGTCACGAGTAACACAGAAGCTGACAAACTATAAATACTTACGTTTCGAGTTCCACCTCTCTGGGAACCCGGCAGGATTAGAGACCATGTGCTCAGTCCTAATAAAAAAATATTTGCGCCAGAACCCACGACTCGCTCGGTCGTCGGTTTTGACCACCAACCCTTTCGTACCACGGCCTCTCAGATGCACCATGGTCCCCCTTAGATAGCAGGCATTGAATAACTATAGGAGGTGATGGACCGTGACCTCGCATCCGGCCAACTCCGTGTACTTACTCAGCAACCGAAGCACCTTCAGAGTATACGGCGTAAGTTGAGCCGGACACACATTATATAACCGACAAAACTCCTCCGCAAATGGGAAAAGAGGGAGGCTGTAACCGATCGAGAAGGAGTATTCATAAAAGGCACAATATCCTGGCCGATGAACGTCCACATGATCCCTCCCTGCCGGAACCATCTCTACATAGGCAGGTATGCCGTACTTCGTGCGAAGATCATCCAAGTGGTTCTGTAACGACTCCGAAAACTCTGGAGTCGGTATGGGGGAATCTTTACTAAAATCACTCCAAGATAATATATGCTTTGGCAATAATGCCTCCACAGTGAGAGGACTGACGTCTTCTTCCCCCACTTCTCCACCATCAGAAGATGGCGGCACATTCGCAGGGGCAGCCGTCGGGACCCTCTCGTCAGATCGGCAAGGTTTATGCATGGTTTTCAGTGAAGGAAAGAGTTAAGCGCAACCCAACAAAAGAATAAAAAGAGAAAGGGTTTCGATCAAAGGGAAACACACCGGAATAGGAAAATATGTATTGCAGGTCTGGAATTCTCTTGCGAATGACCAAAGTTTGAATCAAGTTAAACCCTTCTCCTATTTATAGGGGTGGTTGGCGCCAGAATCGAAGAAGCAGACGTCGAATCGGCACGGGAAACCAGGCGCCAAAAGATTCTGATCCCCTTGCCTCGAGAATACGCGCAATGATGACGCATATGAACGCTGACGTCACACGAGGAAAGGCGTTTCGCTTCAACGATCTGACAATCATGATTAATGTCCCCTGCTTGTCACGTCACAAGGCATTGACAAAGTCAAACTCTCCCGGAACGGAGGTATCGATTCCGCCCATCAAGGACGCATTCGCTGCGACCCCGGCGGGTGGAAGGACTAACTGTATGGGGTCGAATTTGACCAACCACGTTCTTCATGCCAGCACGACCGATCGGGTGTGCGTAAGTCCGACTAGAAGGGCGACCTATGAGCAACAAGAGGGACGACTTCACGATCACGTCGGCCACTCTCCATAACATGTACTTTATTTTCTGCCTTTTAATATTCGAGCAAGGATCCTCTATTATATAAAGAGGATCCAAGCCTTGTAAAAGGGGATGATTTTTGGACTACTGGAAATACAATCTCTCTCTTTTCTCTCTCTCTAACATTATCTCTTTCTCATCTTTCAGAGTTTATCATTTTCTCTCATTAATCTTGTTTACACTATTGTCATCTGATTCTATATTCAAGATCATCCTAGGGTTTATTATCTTCAACTACGATTTACCCCTTCATCTATATTGATTGATTTGCTTAGAAAATATTAACTTACTTTTGGCTCAAACAAAAATAAGTCATATGGTACCGATCTAATGATTTTAAACTAATGAAGACTTCCAAGTAAAACATCACCTCTTACTTCGTTGAAGTTCCTTTACTTCAGCAGACTAAGTGAACATTGTAAACATTTCATTTACTCTAATATTATTCTTTATGAGCCAAACACGACTAATCGTCTAAATTAAATCCTTAGCCCCAGGGCAGTATCTTCCTGCTGCTTATGCACATTCATCATTCGTGACCTATTTTTATTTGTCGTACGGTCCTTTTTATTTGTCGCTTTAGAACACAAATTTAATTCAGAATATTTGTTACTTTAGATAACTAAAAAATATTAAATAATATAGAGTATTATTTTTCGGGAAAATTTCATATAAGAACAACTTGACTCCCTATTTTTCAATTTTGTAGCCCATATTTCAATTTACAACCAACTATTAGTCGCATATCCTATGAAAACACAATCAACGGTTTTTGGTCCTATTTTTACCCTTTTGGGTTTAGGAACTTGCACTTTTGCCAAACATCCCCACACTTTAAAATAATTCAAGTTGGGCTTCCTTCCTTTCCATTTTTCATATGGAATGGATTGTGTTTTGCTATGGGGTACTCGATTTAGTATTCGGCTAGCCGTAAGGACGGCTTCCCCCCACAAGTTCTGTGGCAAACCAGAACTTATCAATAATGCGTTCATCATCTCCTTTAATGAACGATTCTTTCTTTCTGGAATCCCATTGGATTGGGGCGTGTAAGGGGCCGTTGTTTGATGAATAATTCCATATTCTAAACATATTTGTTCAAAAGGAGATTCATATTCACCACCCCTATCACTTCTTATCATTTTGATTTTTTTGTTAAGTTGCGTTTCAACTTCATTTTTGTATTGCTTGAATGCGTCTATTGCTTCATATTTACTATTAAGTAAGCAAACATAGCAATATCGAGTACTATCGTCAATAAAAGTTATGAAATACTTCTTTCCACCGCGAGATGGTATTGACTTCATGTCACAAATATCTGTGTGAATTAAGTCTAAAGGATTTGAATTCCTTTCAATTGACTTGTAAGGATGTTTAACATACTTTGATTCCACACATACTTGACATTTTGATTTGTCACATTCAAACTTGGGCAATACTTCCAAATTAATCATTTCCCGTAAGGTTTTATAATTGACATGACCCAAACGTATATGACATAATTCATTTGACTCAAGTAAGTAAGACGAAGCTGAAATTTTATTATTATTTTCAACAACCATTACATTCAGCTTAAAAAGGCCCTCAGTGAGGTAACCTTTTCCTACAAACATTTTATTCTTACTTATTACAACCTTATCGGAAACAAAAACACATTTAAAACTATTCTTAACAAGAAGTCCAGTAGAGACTAAATTCTTCCTAATATCGGGAACATGAAGGACGTTGTTCAAAGTCACCACTTTGCCGGAAGTCATTTTGAGAAATATCTTCCCACATCCTTCAATCTTGGCTTTTGAAGCATTTCCTATAGAAATCGTCTCATCGGGTCCAACAGGAGCATAAGTAGCAAAAGCTTCTCTAACAGCACAAACATGGCGAGTGGCTCTAGAATCTATCCACCACTCTTTAGGATTGCCTACCAAGTTGCATTCGGAAAGCATGGCACATAAGTCATCAACATTAGCATCTTTTTCAACCATGTTTGCTTGATCCTTCTTCTTGTCCTTCTTCGGAGCACGATACTCCGTAGATTTGTGTCCGATTTTTTCACAGTTGTAGCAGTTTCCACTGAACCGCTTCTTGCTTGGGTTGTATTTCGGTCCAGAAGCCTTCTTCCTCTTTTTGTTCTCTTCAACAATATTTGCTCCCATTATTGTTGAGTTTCCACGGCCTCTCTTTTCAGCAGCTTTGTT